CAAAACATCGTTCGATTTGGTAAAAATCGTTTAAGAACTACAAAAATTTGTTTTCAACTTTCGTCGTCAAGAAAAAAGTACATTATCATATTCTTGAAATATCACAAGTAAGTAACATAAACATATATGAAGCAAATTTATATAAGCTTTTAGCTTGTTTTTGTGTCGTATCTTTAAATCTGTAATGTATTATATGATATTTTTTATGTTTAATCCATATCATTTAATTCAGGTAGAACAAAAATCGTTGTTCTGCATTTTATTAACCCCAATCAAGTGATTACGTAACCCTGTCTGCAAATGGGAGACAGCTTGTCTATAGAGATTGACAGTGACTTTTTTTGGCGCCAGTGTACAGTCTTGCGAGATTATCCATTGCCATTGTGAGGTTGACTTCTGGCCAGTGGCGGATTAAGCTCCACCAAGGCCTGAGGCGGCAGTTGCTGGAGGGCCTATTTAGTTTTTAAATAGGGCCTATTTAAAATGGTGTGGGCTTAATAATTTCGGGTCAGAGCCTATGTTGATTCCCGTTGGGCCTACCCCCCCCCCTCCCTAACATTCATTGTCTATGTGTTTTTAATTGTATCAGACAAGTCTAAAAAAAATTTTTTTTACAAAATCTTTGGGCCTGAGGCTGCAGCCTCATCAGCCTCACTGATAATCCGCTACTGCTTCTGGCCACATGTACAGATGGAAGACTACGTTAATTCATTTGTGATTTAAAAGTTCTAAGCCATGTGTGAGTTAAACATACATTATGGTATGCAAGAGCTAAATCTGCCTTTTTCAGGTCTTTCTTTAGGCCTGAAATGTTATCTAAATTATTAATTACAAATTAATTAACCTATCCAAACCATAATCAACTCTAGATGGCATGGCTAGTCTGCGATCTGTAGTGGATGATGAGCCGATTTACTGCATAATGGATAATCAAGACTATGCTGTTTATCGTACTGACTTTACTAATGATGAACGAGGCTAGGCAGAAATTTCATTTGCTTAGTTCTGGGTTTATAGTGAATCAATTTGAATGAAATTTTCAACAAATTGCCTTTACGTTATCTAGTTTTTATACGCCCACATGGAAATGTGGTTGTATATTGCCGTCGCCCCTGTCTGTCCGTCTGTCCGTCCGTCCGTCCGTCCGTCGTCCACAATTTCATCTGATTGTTTTGAAATTGATATATGTTGTTTGCATTAGTGAGATGAAGAAGCCTATTTAATTTCAATAACTTCCGTTAATTTCTTCTGGAGTTATGGCCCTTGTTTCACTTTGTTGCACATTGTGAATGCTCTAACAACAAAAGTTATCAACCGATCTGTATGAAATTTATATGCATCATTCAAATTAGTAAAACAAAGAACCCTATTGAATTTCAGCAATTTCCGTTAATTACAACTAGAGTTATGGCCCTTGTTTCACTTTGTTGTACCTTGTGAATGCTCTAACGACAAAAGTTATTATCCGATCTGTATGAAATTTATATGCATCATTCAAATTAGTAAAACAAAGAAGCCTATTGAATTTCAGCAATTTCCGTGTATTACAACTAGAGTTATGGCCCTTGTTTCACTTTGTTGAATCTTGTGAATGCTCTGACAACAGTTATGATTCGATCTATTTGAAATTGATATGCATCATTTAAATTAGTGAAATGAAGAAGCCTATTGAATTTCAGCAATTTCCGTTTATTACGCTGTGAGTTATGGCCCTTGTTTCACTTTGTTGTACCTTGTGAACGTTCGAACAACAAAAGTTATCATCCGATCTGTATGAAATTTATATGCATCATTCAAATTAGTAAAACAAAGAAGCCTATTGAATTTCAGCAATTTCCGTTAATTACATCTAGAGTTATGGCCCTTGTTTCACTTTGTTGAATCTTGTGAACGCTCTAATGACAACAGTTATCATCCGATCTGTTTGAAATTGATGTGCATCATTTAAATTAGTGAAACCAAGAAGCCTATTGAAATTCAGCAATTTCCTTAAAGTTACGCCGTGAGTTATGTTCTTGTTTCACTTTGTTGTTCCTTGTGAACGTTCAAACAACAAAAGTGATCATCCGATATGTATGAAATTTATATGCATTATTTGAATTAGTAAAATGAAAAAGCCTGTTGAATTTCAACAATTTCAGTAGATTACTTCCAGAGTTACAGCCCTTGTTTTAGTTTTTAGAACCTTGTGAACCCTCAAACGACAAAAATTATAATGTCATCTGTATGAAATTGTCCATTAAATTCCCCTAATTACCTACAAAAGAATAAATATGCAACAACCCTTGTCGACTGCTCGGACGATTTAGCTGCTGTGGGCGTATGTTTTGTTGCCTGGCAACCTATCTTTTACTATTATAATGAGAACTGCCAACTCGTCATCGAATCTCCCATAATGTATCTTTAAGGTTTGATATCATAAGTATCTGGCATAATGTGGATGATGTATTAATTCCAAATTTTCTAGGGTTTGAATTACGGTATAATAAAGTTTAACAATAACCATTAATTTGACTGGTATTTTTATAGGTCCACATTGGACTATATTGCCGTCACCCCTGTCTGCGTGTGTGTGTGTGTGTCAGTGTGTTGCCTACAGGCTGCTATTCTTAACTGATGGACTTGAAACTTTACATACTTATTCCTTTACATACTTATTCCTTAAACCCCAAGGATGATCCCTATTGTTTTTGGTGCATGCTCGACCCGGAGGACAGGGCCATGCCAATTTTTTGTATTTGTTTGTCGGGCCACATTTCTTACCGGATCCACTTCAAACTTATACCCTAAGGATCATCACTATTGTTTTTGATGCATGCTCAACCCCCATGGGCAGAGCCACACCCTTTTTATACGCCCACATTGAAATGTGGTCGTATATTGTCGTCGCCGCCGTCCGGCCCGCGGTCCGGCATCCACAATTGCTTGTGAGCGCTCTAGAGGCTAAAGTTAATATCTGATTGACTTTAAATTTATACACAGTGTTTAAGGTCTTGAAACGAAGAAGCCTATTGATTTTCAACGATTTCCAATAATTACTGCCAGAGTTATGGCCCTTGATCACTTTGAAAAATCTTGTGGACGCTCTAGAGGCCAAAGTTAATATCCGATTGACTTTCAATTTATACACAGTGTTTGAGGTCATGAGACGAAGAAGCCTATTGATTTTCAGCGATTTCCGATAATTACTGCCAGAGTTATGGCCCTTGATCACTTCAAAAAATCTTGTGGAGGCTCTAAAAGCCAAAGTTAATATCCGATTGACTTTAAATTTATACACAATGTTTAAGGTCATGAGACGAAGAAACCTATTGATTTTCAACGATTTCCAATAATTACTGATAGAGTTATGGCCCTTGATCACTTCAAAAAATCTTGTGGATGCTCTAGAGGCTAAAGTTAACATCCGATTGACATTAAATTTATACACAGTGTTTAAGGTCATAAGATGATGAAGCCTATTGGTTTTCAGCGATTTCTGATAATTACTGCCAGAGTTATGGCCCTTGATCACTTCAAAAAATCTTGTGGATGCTCTAGAAGCGAAAGTTAATATTCGATTGACTTTAAATTTATACACAGCGTTTAAGGTCATGAGACGAAGAAGTCTATTGATTTTCAGCGATTTCCAATATTTGCTGCCAGAGTTATTGCCCTTGATCACTTTGAAAAATCTTGTGGACGCTCTAGAGGCCAAAGTTAATATCCGATTGACTTTCAATTTATACACAGTGTTTAAGGTCATGAGACAAAGAAGCCTATTGATTTTCAGCGATTTCCGATAGTTACTGCCAGAGTTATGACCCTTGATCACTTCAAAAAATCTTGTGGATGCTCTAGAGGCTAAAGTTAATATCCGATTGAGTTTAAATTTATACACAGTGTTTGAGGTCATGAGACAAAGATTCCTATTGATTTTCAACGATTTCTGATAATTACTGCCAAAGTTATGGCCCTTGATCACTTTGCAAAATCTTGTGATGCTCTAAGGCTAAAGTTATAATCCGATTGACTTCAGATTGATACACAGAGTTTAAGATCTTGAGACGAACAAGTATATTGATTTTCAATGAATTTTTATGACTTGAGCAGTTAAATTCATGATATTAAAAGCTTTGCATACAAAACGTTAGCATGGGGCAGAACTTTATAAAAACCAAACAAATTCTAATAGTTTTCTGATAATAACTTCGTGGGTTGTTGCTCTTAATCAGATTTTAGTGTATTATAAATGTTTCATTACCGAGGGCGAAAAAAGTAGAAAAATATGCGACAACCCTTGTTGACTGCCCGGACGATTTAGTCGCTGTGGGCGTATGTTTCGTTGCCTGGCAACCTATCTTTTTTTTTTGCCTACAGACTGCAATTGTTAATCAGTCTTGAAAACTTTTCATACTTATTCCTTATACCCTAAGGATCTTCACTATTGTTTTTGGTGCATGCTCAACCCCCAGGGGCAGAGCCATGCCATTTTCTTTTTGTGTGTTGTTGACTTCAGGCCGCAATTCTTAATCAATCGTCTTATACGTTTCATACTTATTCCTTATACCCTAAGGATGACCTCTATTATTTTTGGTACATGCCCAACCCCCTGGGACTGCCACGCCCAATTTTTATGTGTCTGGGCAATTCCGTGAAAATGTCAACCTAAGTGGTAAAATTGAAATATTAAGCTACACCAATGTTTTTGGTACCAAAAGAAAGCTTATTTTGTCCACTTTTTAAATTTAAATGTCATATTTTAGTTCATCGTTCTTTAGAGGGGATCAAGTGGATAAGACGCTGGCTCGTTAGCCTGGAGGTCGGGTGTTCGATCCCTGCATTGGCCGAGAAAGTTCATCCAGATTTTCCGGCATGGTTTCCCCTTGTCAGTGATGCAACAGTTGTTGCAGCCATTTCATATTTCATTCTCTTCATTTTAATAAGTACTTTATCAATCATAGCAGGAATGTGGACGTATACTGCAGCAGTATCATGCTCTTGTTTTTTTTATTTTGAAGATCTAACAGTAGTCGTGTTAAAAGTACTGCACCTAGTACATCAGATCAAAGTAATGGCTTTGGTAATAATACTAAGGAGAAAAGGTGAGTGTATTTATGCAGTACAAATTGAATTTTATAAACATCATTCATGAAGAATAAACCCCCAAATATGATTATGAGATTTATCTCTCTTTAGTTGACAACATATTTTAATATGATAAATGTACATACTGGAAGTGTATAGTTATTGTGGGATCCTCCAATCTGATTAAAACACAGATCCTATTTTGTTTCGTTTTTTATAGTTTAAAATTTCGTTTTACTTGTCTTCATAACACTAGGATCTGGAAGAGTTGTGTTATATAACAGGCGTTCTAGTTGCTGTGAGGGAATTAGCCAATAAAATAGTCTGCATTTAGGCTGCGCAATGTTGCTAAAATGAAGTCAGTAAGGTTTAGGATTCTAGGGAGAGAGATGTCAAACTTGGTTCTCTGTTGTATTTTGTGGTTTAGGATTCTTGAATGTCAAACTAATTCAGTGCTGTCAGTAGTTCTGTCTTTTGGTGAGAGATCCTATTTTGTTTCGTTTTTTATAGTTTAAAATTTCGTTTTACTTGTCTTCATAACACTAGGATCTGGAAGAGTTGTGTTATATAACAGGCGTTCTAGTTGCTGTGAGGGAATTAGCCAATAAAATAGTCTGCATTTAGGCTGCGCAATGTTGCTAAAATGAAGTCAGTAAGGTTTAGGATTCTAGGGAGAGAGATGTCAAACTTGGTTCTCTGTTGTATTTTGTGGTTTAGGATTCTTGAATGTCAAACTAATTCAGTGCTGTCAGTAGTTCTGTCTTTTGGTGAGAATTGAGAGTAATTTCTTGGGGGAGAGGAGGCCAAACTCTGTGATTTTAAATCGGTTCACAGATTTAGTTTTTTTTTTTATTGATATTTTTAATGCAAGTCTGGCTCAAAGTTAAAACTTTCAGGTACAATTTCAGTAGCGCTATGCATTTGGTCTTTGACAACTGAAATCGTTATTGTCAGTCCGGTTGGTCATTCTGGTTACTTATTTTCTGAGTTCGAATTTTGAAATAGTCTCTTATGATTTTTCAGGCCAGCACGATCATTTGATGAAGAGTTTGAAGATGATTTTGATGAGATGATTTGTAACGACCCGTCTGTTGATCAGTTATCTAGGGTTGAACCCCAAAATATACCTAACAAAAATACTACCACTTCTAGAAGCACCCATCCAGTCACTGTATCTAACCTATCAAACACAAGACAGTCAGACGCACCTTCTTTACAATCTTCCAGCGAGAGAGCATATAGTCCTGTAATACCCATGCAGTGTGAATCATCAAAGGTTGATACAGGCTTTATTTGTTGGAATAATATCTTTTTCTGTTTGTGGAAAAAGTATTGTTTGAATTTTGGCAAATCCTTCATCCGTTCTTTTCACATATTAAATGTAACATTACCAGCACAAATACTCCACATACAATTTTGATGCTGAAACGAAGAAATTCTTGACTTAAAGGAAGTATGGCTCTGTTTTTTGGAACCTTGAAATAGACGATAATGGTTTTAAAGCACATATTAAACATACATTATGCAAGAGCTAAATCTGTCTATTGCAGGTCCTTCTTTAGGCCTGAAATGTTATCTTAATTATTATTTAGACATTAATTAACCTATCCAGACCATAATCAACTCTAGATGGCATCGCTAGCCTGCAATCTTTAGTGGATTATGAGCCAATTTACTGCATAACTTTCCTTCACGATTTAACGATTAAATGGATAATCAAGACTATGCTGTTAATAATGATGATCAAGGCTAGTCGAAAATTTCAACACCTTAGTTCTCGGTTCATAGTGGATCAATTTGAATGAAATTTTCAGCAAATTGCCTTTACATTATCTAGTTTTATGCACCCACATTTTCATGTGGACGTATATTGCCGTCGCCCCTATCCCTCCGTCCGTCAGTCCGTCCACAATTGTTTGTGGACACTCTACAGGTCACAATTCTTATCCGATTTTGACAAAACTAGAAATATAGGTTTATCTCCAAAAGATCTTGGTTGCTTCAATATTGGCATGTATCGGACCGAAACTTCATGGATTATGGCCCCTGATTGTATGAAAAATCACGTTTTTAGCTTGTGGACCCTATATAGAGGTCACTATTTTTATCCAGTTTTGTTGAAACTTGAAATGTAAGTTTATAACCCAAAGATCTTGGTTCCTTTCAATATTCGCGCATATCGGAAAGTAACTTCCTGAATTATGGCCGCTGATTGTACGAAAAATTACGTTTTTAGCTTGCCGACCCTATAGCGGTCATAATTTTTATCCGATTTAAAAAAACGTTTGTATATATCACCGTTACACCCTAAGGATGTCTGAGTTCGAATTTCGTAAAAATAGGACCAAAACTGACAGACAAAATAGCCGCCCCTTGTACTCAAATAGCGTAAAAATATGGTATATCAAGATTTGTGGACTCTCTAGAGGTCGCAATTTTCTTCTGATTTTGATGAAACTTGAAATGTAAGTTTATAACCCAAAGATCTCGGTCCCTTTCGATATTCGCACATATCGGACCGTAACCTTCTGAATTATGGCCCCTGATTGTACGGAAAATCGCGTTTTTAGCTTGTGGACCCTATAGAAGTTATAATTTTTATCCGATTTCTAAAACCGTTTGAATATATCACTGTTACACCCTAAGGATGCTTGAATTCGAATTTCGTAAAAATCGGACCAAAACTGACAGACAACATGGCCGCCCCTCGTACTCAAATAGCGTAAAAATAAGGTATATGAATGTTGTGGACCCTCTAGAGGTCACAACTTTCTTCTGATTTTGATGAAACTTGAAATGTAAGTTTATAACCCAAAGATCTTGGTTCCTTTCGATATTCGCGCATATCAGATAATAACTTCCTGAATTATGCCCTCTGATTGTTCTAAAAATTGCATTTTTAGTTTGAGGTCCCTCTAGCTGTCAATTATTATCCGATTTAAAAAAAACGTTCAAATATATCACTGTTACACCGTAATTTGGGTTGAGTTTGAATTTTGTGAAAATTGGGCCGATTTAAAAAAACCATTCAAATATATCACTGTTACACCGTAATTTGGGTTGAGTTTGAATTTTGTGAAAATTGGGCAGCCCCTCGTATGCAAATAGTGTATAGCATCTGGTATATCAAGCTTGTGGACCTTCTAGAGGTCACAGTTTTGACCTGATTTTGATGAGAGTTGAAATACATGTTTATAACCCAAAGATCTTGGTTCCTTTCGATATTCGTGCGTATCGGATCATAAGTTCCTGAATTATGGCCCTGGAATGTACAAAAAATCACATTTTTAGCTTGCCGTCCATGTAGAGGTCACAATTTTTATCCGATTTAAAAAAACATGTGAATATATCATCATTACACTCTAAGGTCTTGGTTCCTTTTGATAATCGCTCCTGATTGTTCGAAAAATCGCATTTTTAGCTTGCGTATTCTCTAGAGGTCACAATTATTTTTTTTGATTTTAAAAACCGTTTAAATATTTCACCATTTCACCATAATGAAGGTTGAATTCAAATTTCGGGAAAATCGAAATGAAACTGCCTGACAAAATGGCCGCTCTTTGTACGCAAATTGTGTAAAAGTATGCAATACGAAGGTTGTGGACCCTCTAGAGGTCACAATTGTTATCCGATTCTGATGAAACTCAAAACATATCTTTATATCCCAAAGATCTCCGTCCGTTTTGATATTTGCGCAGTTCAGACCATAACTTTCTGGATTATGGCCCCTGATTGTACAAAAAATCCTGTTTGTTTTTAGCTTGTTCTCTATCCATCTCTTGCAAAATGTTGGCGTATCCTGCCTGGCAGCCGCTGGTTTTTGTTTTAGATCCCACGTCCACCCGAAACATTAAATCAATCTGAGATGCAAGACCTGGATGAAGATCTGGATGATACAATACCTGGTACACCACCCAGTAAAAAGGTATTACACTAATATGAATCTTTTATTTCACCAACATTGAAAATGCACTGAGTGACAATCAAGTCTGAACACAAGCGGTCGAACAATTGTATTGTGCCTTATAGTTTGTCCGTAACAAAGTTTTGAAGATTATATCACTGTAACTGACGTACATTAGCCAGTTCAACATTACTATTATTAGGCTAGTGTGACAAAATTTTGTCAGCTTATTCGAGACTTAAATATTTCACGCAAGAGCGAGAATTCCGGTTTCTAGCAGATGGTAAATCTCGCATACATCACTCGGCGTTTGTATTAATATGAACACTTCATGCAGACCAACTTTACTATAACTTCGCCAAAAATGACATCTTTCGTCAAAAAACATGGAGGTTACATGTCAGACTCCCAATTAGGTCTTCAACTACCGATAATTTGATAGCCATTGCAACTCAGCAACTGATAATTCTTTAAAAGGTGAGACCATGAGGTTGACGGTCAAGGTCATCTCTCTAAATGACATTCTTCTAATTCTAATAAAAGTCGCGTTTTGAAAACAGCAACGGTGTACAAATTATAGTATGAACCTGATGTATGGTTATCCTTTGAGGAACAAGGGGGTCTCGTCATTTCATTTGAAATGCTAAGTTTTTGGCAAATTTGAATACTCATAGTCATAGAGTATAGACATACTGTGGAAAAAAAATAAATGCCTGACTTCTTGGTGGCGTGGTTAAACATTTCTTCTAACTTTCGTTTGTCAAATCTGATGGACCACACTGAAACAAAATGTCATTTAAAAGTAAAAAATGAATATTTTTCTAATCATACAAACACATCTTTGTCACAATTCAAGTCACAACCAGGCCAGGATATTGTGAATATATTTAAAGGACTGGGTGTTAAATTTAAAGAAAAAATTAGATATCGCATACTTCATTGCCATATGTTTGTCAGGCACAATCTGTGTCATGTCAGGCACAAATTCTGGTGTTACATCCAGGCTTGGTGACAATATTGAAGGCCATTAAAGGGTCCTTAACCTCATATTATCTCCCCTTAGACCACAAATTGTAACTGGCATTCATTTGTTTTTTCTCATTTGCTTTGTTTCATTTTATTTCATTATTCCATTGCGATTTTTTTTACTGGAGAATATCTTATAAACTGTTCAGCATTCCTTTGTTTATGAAACTTTGTAAAAACATCAACCTTTTGTATTAGTTGCGCCTTTTGCTAATTAGAAGTTAATGAGGTTTAATAGTTTTTGTGTTCCATGGAAACAAATGTACAATTTTATTCCAGAGAATATTTCATGAACCATTTAGAGAGATGTTGATGAATACTTGTACACATTTCAACCTATTATGGTAGCTAATTTGTAAATTCCCTGTTAAAGATACTTTCCCAGAAAAGTATTTATCGGGTGAATATGTTTTTAGTCCAAATATATCATCAAATCACAAAGTTTGTACGTGGGAATGTATCTTTAAATAATCTTTGCGATTAGTTTTTGGTATGCAATTATTTTTTCAGAGCACATCTGAGAAACTGTTCAATATATTATTATGAAACTATGAAATTTTGATTTCATTCATAGTTCTAGAACATAAAATATAACTTTTCAGTTGTGCGATATTTTGATAGTGTACCAACTGAGGTGCTTGTTTGTAATTTTTTGTCCACTATAATAATCAAGTTGCATAATTGGGATGTCTGATACTCTTTGCTATATAGTTGTACTTGGTTGATGATTACTAATAACACAGTCTGTCCATGTACCTACCAAAACATACCCAACAGCCTAAATGTTTATTTTTTGTCCCCCGCCTTTCGAAGAAAGCAGGGGACTATTAAAATGGGTTCGTCTGTCTGTCTGTCTGTCTGTCTGTCCGTCTGTCTGTCCGTCACACTTTTTGGGACACAATAACTCTCTTCCTAATTGAGCTAGAATGTTCAAACTTGGTGTATGTGTTTATTAGGTCAATGCCTTGATGGAGTTCGAAGATGAGCATTTTCCGCTTAGGGTAAGCAGAGATAAGCAATTTGATTGGTTGATGCTTTGGGACACGATAACTCTCTTCCTAATTGGGCTAGAATGTTCAAACTTGGTGTATGTGTTGATTAGGTCAATGCCTTGATGGAGTTCGAAGATGAGCATTTTCCGCTTAGGGTAAGCAGAGATAAGCAATTTGATTGGTTGATGCTTTGGGACACGATAACTTTTAATTGAGCTAGAATGTTCAAACTTGGTGTATGTGTTTATTAGGTCAATGCCTTGATGGAGTTCGAAGATGAGCATTTTCCGCTTAGGGTAAGCAGAGATAAGCAATTTGATTGGTTGATACTTTGGGGCACGATAACTCTCTTCCTAATTGAGCTAGAATGTTCAAACTTGGTGTATGTGTTGATTAGGTCAATGCCTTGATGGAGTTCGAAGATGAGCATTTTCCGCTTAGGGTAAGCAGAGATAAGCAATTTGATTGGTTGATGCTTTGGGACACGATAACTTTAGTTCTAATTAAGTGAGATTGATGAAACTTGATGTATAGTTTCATTACAGTAATACCTTGACTAAGTTTGATAATGAGCATTTTCTGCTCAGGGTAAGCAGAGCGATACGCAATTTGATTGGTCGAGACTTTGGAAAACAATAACTCTCCTACTTTGATTGTTAGACTATAAGTAAAGATATACTGTTTGATTGTTCAATACTTTGTAAAAGATAATTTGTGATAAATTTATATGTGTCCTCTAATTATTTTCCTATTTCGGCGGGGGACATCAGCCTCACTGTTGGCTTGTTTATTTTCAGTTCAGATCAATGATTTTTGGTTTATCTCAATCACAAGGTAGTCAGCAATCAAAAAATAAACCATTACAAAATGTACAAGTTTTAGCAGAAGATACTGATGAAGATGACTGATGTACATCATATTTTAATTCATCCTGTAAATTAACAATGGTGGCTGATTTACTTAGAAATATTTAACTCTTTTGATACCACGAGACATAGATATCTGTCTGATGTGCCCAAAAGCCGTTGTCAGCATATCGGCTGTGGATCATTAAATGATTGTAGGTAGAGATATTTTTTTTTATCTTATTGATGTGTTGGAGGATCTCTATGTTTATTTAGAAACAAACTGCATGAAACTGCAGTGGAAGATCTTTATAATCAACTGAGACGATCATTAATTTATTACCAATATACTATAATGTTTTAATAATGCGAATAAATTAACAAGTGCTATATGAGTTTTGATTACATCCTCAAAGATATTTATGAAAGTGAAGTCATTAAGTATAACATCCGATAAAGTGTAACAGCCAAATGAAATATGGTCAACTTAAAAAAATGAAATTCTAATATGGTTGGTAAAAAAAAAATAGACTTGGGCACAGAGTGGAAAATAATTTGGTAGTTAAAGAAAATAGCCAAAACTATATTAATTATTATTAGTCATATCTTTAGAAATGAATGAATAAGATAACGATTTCAAATGCATGTATGTTCTCAGCTCATAATTCAAATTATTGAATTCTAATACTGGCAATTTTCAAGTAAAGGATGAATATAAACACATGCTGTTATTATATTAAAAGTGATGAATGATATTCAAATTATAATCACAACAAAGCTATGATCATGCATAGTTTTGCCTGATTTTACAGTGAAATTAAAGTGTTTTTTTATGTGATTGTTACTATTATTGACAACTTTAATGTAATTTTTTAAAAATATTTATGTTGAGTTTAAATGTAAATATACACTTTCTTTACACAGGTGTTAACTTCTTTATTTTAACCTAACAACTATTTTATCAAAATACTGCTCATAAATATAAGAATAACGTATAGTATACATGTTGATTTAGTAAAACGCTTAAACATGGATTATGCAAGAGCTAAATCTACCTATTGCAGGCTTTCTATGGGCCTGAAATGTTAACTAAATTATTAATTGGACATTAATTAACTTATCCAGATCATAATCAACTCTCGATGCCATTGTTAGCCTGCAATATTTACTGTATTTGAATACATTTTGTGATGGATAATTTAACTTAAAAATGGATAATCGAGACATTGGTTGTTATCATACCAACGTCAGTAATGACGACCGAGACTAGCCTAGAATTCAATGGCTGATATCTCGGTTCAGAGTGAAGCAATTTGACTGAAATTTTCAGCATATTTTGTTTTCATTATCTATTTTTTAAACTATTTTAGCGAGAACTGTCAGTTCTTTACTTAACCTTACCTAATGCCACTTTATAGAAAGTAGGTAGAACTTTAAGAGGGTCTGTGCTAGGTGTGCGATTTGAAACTGGACTTATGACCTAAATCTCTTGAGTCCTAATCTTAGGGTGGACAGAGAAAGTTCAAGGTTTTTCTAAACTAGTTTGCATTTGTTACTGGTAAGGCCTGCATGTCTGAAAAGGAAAGTGTGCTGTGTTTAGATTGATCAAGAAAGCATAGTCATGTGTAAAGAACAGGTTAATAAATATTTTGAGGATTAGAATTCAAAGATGTGTATGTGGAGATGCAGTGAAAATCTCCACTCTTGCAATGGACAGGTGTGAACATAGAAAAAATAATTTAGTTTATGTTACAGGTAGTCTTCAAAAATACAATACAAAACTGCGGAAATGCACTGCTGTTTTTATACACCCACAGTTTCATGTGGACGTATATTGTCGTTGTCCGTCCGTCCACAATTGTTTGTGAACACTCTACAGGCACAATTTTTATCCGATTTCAATGAAACTTGAAATATAGGTTTATCACCCTAAGATCTCGGTTCCTTTCGATATTGGCATGTATCGGACTGTAACCTCATGGATTATGGCCCCTGATTGTATGGTTTTTTTTATCTGATTTGGTTTAAACTTGAAATGTATGTTTATAACCCTCAGATCTCGGTTTGCACATAACGGACCCCATAACTTCTGAATTATGGCCCCTGATTGCACGAAAAATCGCATTTTTAGCTTATGGACCCCATAGAGGTCACAATTTTTATCCGATTGAAAAAAAACCTGTGAATATATCACCTTTGCACCCTAAGATTGGTTGAGTTCAAATTTTGTAAAAATCGGACTGAAACTGACGGACAAAATGGCCGCCCCTCGTTGTGTCAAAATATTGCGTATCAGGATTGTGGACCCTCTGGAGGTCACAATTTTCATCTGATTTTGATGAAACTTGAAATGAAAGTTTATGACCCACAGATCTCTGTTCCTTTCGATATCGGACCATAACTTATTGAATTAGGGCCCCTGATTGTACGGAAAAACGACTTTTTTTTACATGGGACAAATTAAGCAAGAATTTTTTTGTCAGTTTATCTAATGAAATGGTGACCTTGACTGCTGAGTGTGATAAAACATCAATCCTCCAAAAATTACACACAGAATTGATGGTTTATCACAAAGGTCACCTTGTCCTTTATTTTCCTTAAGGCAAGTCAAGCACAAGAATGACAAAAAGACCTTTTAAGTTGCATCATTTTTATACGCCCACATTGAAATGTGGACGTATACTGCCGTCGCCCCTGTCCGTCTGTCGTCCACAATTTCTTGTGAACGCCCTTACTCCAAAAGTTAATATCCGATTGTTTTAATAATTTCTGTTCATTATGTCTAGAGTTATGGCCCTTGTTTCACTTTGTTGAACTTTGTGAACGCTGTTACGCCATATCATCCAATCTTTGTGAAATTTATATGCATTATTTAAATTAGTGAAATGAAGAATCCTATTGAATTTCAGCAATTTCCGTTTATTACTTCTAGAGTTATGGCCCTTGTTTCACTTTGCGAATGCTCTAACCTCTAAAGTTATCTGCCGATCTGTATGAAATTTATATGTGCCTTTTTATACGCCCACATTTTCATGTGGACGTATTATGCCGTCGCCCCTGTTTGTGGACACTCTAGAGGTCACAATTCTTATCCGATTTTGACAAAACTTGAAATATAGGTTTATCTCCAAAAGATCTCGTCTGCTTTCGATATTGGCATATATCGGATCGAAACTTCATGGATTATGGCCCCCGTTTGTACGAAAAATCACGTTTTTAGCTTGTGGACCCTATAGAGGTCACAATTTTTATCCGATTTTGTTGAAACTTGAAATGTAAGTTTATAACCCAAAGATCTCGGTTCCTTTTGATATTCGCGTATATCGGATCGTAACTTCCTGAATTATGGCCCCTGATTGTACGAAAAATCACGTTTTTAGCTTATGGACCCTATAGAGGTCATAATTTTTATCCGATTTAAAAAACTGTATTATTATATCACTGATACACCCTAAGGACGACTGAATTCGAATTTCGTGAAAATTAGCCCCAAATTGACAGACAAAATGGCCGCCGTTCGTTCTCAAATAGCGTAAAAATATGGTATATCAAGGTTGTGGACCCTATAGAGGTCACAATTTTTATCTGATTTTGTTGAAACTTGAAATGTAAGTTTATAACACAAAGATCTCAGTTCCTTTCGATATTAGCGCATATTGAATTGTAATTTCCTGAATTATGGCCCTTGATAGTAGGAAAAATCACTTTCTTGTTAGCTTGTTCTCTATCCATCTCTCGAAAATGTGGGCGTATCCTGCCTGGCAGCCGCTGGTAGTTAGTAAAAAGAACAATCCTATTGAATTTCAGCAATTTCTGTTTATTATGTGTAAAATTATGGCTCGTTTCACTTTATTGAACCTTGTGAACGCCGCAAGTTATCATCCATCTTTGTGAACTTTATATGCATTATTTAAATTAGTGAAACCACGAAGCCCATTGAATTTCAGCAATTTACAATAATTACTTCTAGAGTTATGGCCCTTGTTTCACTTTGTTCAACCTTGTTAATGCTTGGAAAGTTATCATCCGATATGTATGAAATTAATATGCATCATTTAGATTTGTGCAACAGACGTCTATTGAATTTCAGTAATTTCCATCAATAATTTCTAGAGTTATGACCCTTGTTTTACTTTGTGAACCTTGTGAACGTTTGAATGACAAAAGTGATCATCCGTTCTGTATGAAAATTATATGCATTATTTAAATTAGTAAAACGAAAAAGCCTGTCGAATTTTAACAATTTCTGTTTCAGTTTTGTAGAAACTTGTAAACTCTCAAATGACAAAAATTATAATCTGATCTGTATGTAAAGGCCCCCAATTACCTGCAAAGGAATAAATATGCGACAACCCTTGTTGACCGCTCGGACGATTTAGCTGCTGTGGGCGTATGTCTCGTTGCCTGGCAACCTATCTTTTAATGTAACTACAGAGCTGTAGTGTTCTTGAAGCTTTTTTAGTCAACAGTCTCTTCCTTTTGCATTTGGCCAACCTGAAGAAAACTTAGATGTGGTCTTGTCATCTTGTAGTACTATCGGACTTCTTTTCTTGTTGTGTTTGTTTCTTCGTGATCGTAACAAGACAATAGCATCAATGGTTTTATAACTTTATTGCTAAGCTGTAATGGCTTTGAAGGTTCCTCGTTCTCAATAATAATGGCTGCTAGGAATTTCTGAATGAGCTCTGACCCAACTCGCTCTACACCCTAATTTATACCCCCTAATTTCTGCAGGTCTTCGATAACCTTGTCGTTAATTTCCATTCCAAATATGGAATAAACCTCTTTATTTCACACGACTAAAGGAGGAGACATTACCTTATTTGGTCTACCAACCATAGGTCAATTAACAGCCAGAATTTGATGGATATCTTGACAGTGGTTATGAGTTTACCAAAATATCACTGTTTTTTTATGTATAACTATATATTCACTGAGTTTACCAAAATATCACTGTTTTTTATGTATAACTATATATTCACTGTTCATTAAGTAGTGTGATTTGACTCTATAGACAGAGTGAAGCAACAATTTTGCAAAGAACCAAAATTGTCTCGAGGACCAAAGTGTTACAATCTCCCGAACTACCCACCACCAGCAAAGTCGTCTATGGTAAAATCATTGTTCACAATTCCCACAGAGCAAGATTTAAAAAATCTATTATGAAGTCTATAACTAAGCTTTAAAAGTAAATCAGGTTGCCAGGCAACGGAACATACAGATTATAAATCTGAAGCAAAATCTTTATTACTTACACTTTGGCAAGATTCTAAAAATCCTCAAGGCATAGGGGCAACAACTCGATATTTTCTATGTAAGCATTTCCACTCTCAAGAAAAGGCGTATAAAGATGTGGGCATATCCTGCCTGACAGCCGCTGTCTTTTTTTCTTTAATGTAGTATGCGCATGTTCATGTTCTGGTGTACAAGCACAGGTTCTCTTTCACTTTAGCAGTGGACACACTAGCCGAATCGTTCCGCGTCGTAATTCGCTTAGTGTGTCCGAATCAAACAGGTTTGATATATTCAGCCGAATTATATTCGCCTGGTGTGTCCGCTTCGCCGAAGCATGCGGCCGAATGTAGAATTCATTAGCCAATTACCACTCATATCGAGAAGTCACGTGATAGTTTGAAGACATAATTGCCGCCATGTTTAATCATGTGACGTGAAAGGTGATGCGAAATGACATGAATGAAATGAAATGGGGTTTAACGTCCTACTGTTCTGCTCCTAAACTGGGCTTATGAAGACGGGCATACACCATACAGTGTGCTATGAGGGAAATTTTGCCCGGGCAGCGGCACTACGGCCTACTCTTATATCGAATTCCAACTGCCAAGGGATCTTTTACGTGCACACCAATGTGTACACGGGACCTCGGTTTTTCGTACCAACGACTAGACAGCTGTCCTTGTCAGGCCCTCCGTCCTGCATCACTGACAAGGGGAAAGCACGCTGGAAAATCTGGACAAACTTACGCCAATGCAGGGATCGAACACCCGACCTCTAGGCTAGCGAGCCAGCTTCTTAGCCACATAGCCATGTGATCCCCCGAAAAGGTGATGCATTCGGCTAGTGTGTCCACCATTCGGCCGAATAAAATTCGGCGCCGATTGATTCGGCTAATGTGTCCACTGCTTAAGTGAATCAATCAGTCTTGTTTCTGCAAATGGCAGACCGAATGTCAACAATGTCGGGCTCCTTGCTATAAAAGAGAAATCCTCATTTACGTGTTATTTCCCAATTGTTTCAGCTTGGAAAGCAGGCCTAACTGGATGTTATCAAAGAAACTTGTTAGAAATTAGTTTGCCTCTTTGTACAAGCTAAACATAGAACACTCAAAATTCTTGAAAAATGTTGAAAATCAATAGAAAAGGCTTCTTCATTTCAATAAGACAGGCAACCAATATAAATTATTGTATCTGCTATTGTGAATGACAAATTGACAGACAGACCAGGGCTTATAAAAAATCATGCACCCGGGTACACTTGTACCATGGGTGCCCCCTCCCTTTATCACCGTTCCTGAGAATGCATACAATTTCAAATCTAATTATTTTGTGGAATTTAGTATTCTAGAATCTCTACAGCTCATGAAGATACAAAGCCAACAGACTACATGTAGGTACCATGATATATAGTCTATCCACTATTGATATTAGGCAATCAGTCTTTATTACAGGAAACCCTGGGTAAGAAACAATATTATTTTTGACAGTATCAAAATCAGATTTATTTAAGTTTCTTCTTTTGTACATTATGTTAATTGAATATTTCTATTTAAATGTACAGTAACAACCCAAGGACACAAAAAAAACCAACCTCATAATCTGATAATAATCACTCTATTATAAATCCCTTGTTAAAGATGATCGGGAAATGACGGATGATTCTTCAACTTAAAACAATCTTTATCACCTACATAAATTATAATAAATATTTGGCTTGTTCTTTATATGGATGTGCTGGTTACTCAAGACCAAACTCATCCTACAGCAATTGTACTCATCTCCTTTGTGAAACTGTGTAAAAACATGTGACAGTTTTTGCAAAATTCCAGCTGATAATATTTGTATCCTTTAGTTTTATTTACTCAATATTATGGGGATACATTAATACTGATAAATTTGTATAAATATATCTCCATCATAAATAAGGTTTAATAATATTACTCATTGAGCAAATCAATAAAAATATTTATAATTTAAATCTTTCTTCCAACTTATCACACAGCACTCACTGAATAAAATGAATGATATGATGTAAATTAATTATATGTATTATATATCATGCAGAATTATTTATATCAATAATATTTCATAAGCAATCTTTGCAGCTACCACAGGATATATGCTCACATATCCAATATATTGAAAGACGAGTTTAGGCCCCCACTCTATTTGTGCCCTGTTACAATGTCTCTTATAATTACCGGTACTACAGAGTCTTGTAGCCATTCATTGTGCCCCGGGTTTTTTCACAACTATGGCATCCCTACTAAATTTAGTTTTACAATCAAGTAGAAAATTGCTTTGTGACATTACACTATAGTTTTCAAGGCTCAGAGTTGTTATTAATCAGTAATAAAATACATTCATGTCAACAATAAATAACAAATCTACAGGGGATCAACTTCTCATTCAACTTTCGACCTGCATTCAATTACACCAGTCACGACCTTGTCCCTGAATTACCATAATGTAGTAGCCATGAAATGTAAAAAGATAGGTTGCCAGGCAACGAAACATACGCCCACAGCAGCTAAATCGTCCGGGCAGTCAACAAGAATTGTCACATATTTTTACTTTTTCGGTAATGAAACATTTATAATACATTAAAATCTGATTAAGAGTAACAACTCATTAAGTAATTATCAGAAAACCATTAGAATTGGTTTGGTTTTTATAAAGTTTTGCCCCATGCTAACGTTTAGTATAGGAAACTTTTAACATCATGGATTTAGCTGTTCAAGTCATAAAAATTCATTGCAAATCAATATACTTGTTTGTCTCAAGACCTTAAACTCTGTGTATGAATCTGAAGTCAATCGGATGATAACTTTAGCTTCTAGAGGGTCACAATGTTTTTAAAAGTGATCAAGGGCCATAACTTTGGCAGTTATTATCGGAAATTGTTGAAAATCAATATGATTCTTCGTCTCATGACCTCAAACACTCTGTATCAATTAAAAGTCAATCGGATATTAACTCTGACCTCTAGAGCGTCCACAAGATTTTTTGAAGCGATCAAGGGCCATAACTCTGGCAGTAATTATCGGAAATTGCTGCAAATCAATAGGCTTCTTCGTCTCATGACCTTAAACACTGTGTATAAATTTGAAGTCAATCGGATATTAACTTGAGCCTCTAGACGGACGGACGGGGGCGACGACAATATACGACCACATTTCAATGTGGGCGTATAAAAATAATGGTGCTCTTGTATTGTTTTAAATAGAAATTGTATTTGCATTACTTTTCAGACTGCATATTTTCAATATTATACAGGTATATCTTCATAGGTAAAGTTTTTTTAAAAACATTAATTACTCTCACTTAGTCATCTAACACAACTGTTTTATACATATGTAAAGAATAACAATATGCTTGTGGTAAGAATATTATAACTTGATTACATATGTTATAATCGATATATTTAACTTGGTTCTTAAAAAGCACTATAATAAGTATTAATTATTAGAATGTGTCTCATTAATAAAACAGTCTAGTTGTACCAGCCAAAACTCTAAATCTTACCCAATCTGATTAAAATACAGATCTATATTTTGTTTCGTTTTTTTTTTTATACTTTCAATGGCCTACACTACATGGAGATCTGACTGGTTGTAGTGGGAGGTCGTGTCAGGTTATACAAGTCGCTTTTGATCCTATGTTAGACATATTAACCAATCAGCGTTGATGTTTCTAGTGGGTCACGGTTCTGTGCTCCTTGCACCAAAAATTTGCCGTAACAGACCATTTCATTAGCTAATCCCTCGCATCATCCAGAACGTGGATTATATAACACCTCTTCCAGATCCTAGTGTAGTAAAACGAAATTTTGAACTATAAAAAACGGAACAAAATAGGATCTGTGTTATAATCAGATCGAATCCTACCCAAGTGTACAGTGTATACTCTTCATAAGGCTAATTCAGAATCTGTTTACTGTGATAGGATTCACAATTTATTGTATTGCAATACAACTCATATACTATGGTAATTTTGAAATACAACTCCTACATAAGGTGATAAAAGTGATTTTATTCAATCACGTTATAATCTTCATAAATAATGAATTCTGTCTCTTGAGGCAGTTGACACTCACAGATTAATTTCTGAGTCGCTTTTCTAAATTCATAGATACAGGGCAGTGATGAAGCTTATTAACAGTAATTTAAGACTTACAAAACATAAAATCATTAAAAGCAAACTAATAAAAGAAAACATTTTGATACAGTTCTTAAAATAAATCAAAAGCCAATTTATATATGAATTTTATTTGAAATGAAATGTGAAACCCAATAAATAGAATTTAAAATATGATTGTGAGATCATTGAATGTAAAATAGTGTGGTATCTGTGTTCTCAAGATACAAAAATATAACTTTAAATACATGTAATACCTTGTTTAGACTTTGATGCTTTATAGTATCATATTTTATCACCAGAAATTGTATGCTGTATTAATTAGGAATACTGGTTCTACTCATATTAATATGTATAATTTGATGTACATGTCACAGTTTTAGAACTCCAGAATCTGAAGACCGTGAATGATAACCCTATGGATGTCCAGGACAAATTTTATAAAACCCATAAAAGTCTGAACAATTGTACAGTTTATATTATAAAACAAGAAATAAATGGAAGTAAGAAACTGCTACACTAAATACAAACTATTAACACATGCATTAATATCAAAACTCATTTATGGATTGATAACTTTAGCCTCTAGATTTTTCAAGTGGACCAATGGTGAAAATGAACATGCTTCTTCGCCTCGTGAACATAAACACTGTGTAATTTTAAGTCTTTCGGATGATAATATTAGCCTATAGAGTACAGCTCTAGGAGCAGAGAACTTCCACTAAGGAACCAAATGTCCCGATAGTTTCAATTGAAAAAGACACATACTTGGTGCATGACTTTATCTCCATTTAAGACATTTAAGCCTTACCAACCAAGTATATTCAAATTATACCTTAATTAGTAATTTAGTGAGCTAAATAAAGACAACAATCAACTTTTAAATTCCACACAAAATGTATAAATAAAGCTATTGATTAAAAATTAACAAATATGTTAACTGGGCAAAGGTAGTTTTAGGTAGCAATTACAAATGGGTTTTTTTCCCCCTGGTAATTAGCCTTGTCAATACTGCACTTATTAAAAAAATCATAAATTGATGAAAGCACTATTTTTGCAGTTTCATTTATTAAAAATAAATTAAGGATCATATAAAAGACAAAACATCATCTCAAGTAATAATCACTTATGTTTTATAAAACTTATATGTACAATTTTTGATGAAAAATGAGTTTTGTAACATTAATATATAACAATCAGATCTATATGACCAATTAATTTGTACAATTCTGAACCTCCCGTATTCTTTGTAACATGGAATGCCATTGGTCAACAAAAATTAATGTTACTATAGTAACCATCTATCATAACTCATAAACCACTCAAACTATCTAGGCACACACTCTATGTAACTATTCTATCATACATAACACATTACATCATATTACAGTTGCTAGGTATCGGGTAAATTTGTTACCCTGGCGACCACCACTGTAATATCATCTGGTTTTCCACCTGAAATTGAAATAAATCAGATTATTTTAAGCTCCAATCTAGCAACTGAATATGCTATCAACCAGTGGCTGCCAGGCAGGATACGCCCACATTTTGCAAGAGATGGATAGAGAACAAGCTAAACAACAAGTGATTTTTTGAACAATCAAGGGCCATAATTCCGGAGGTTATGATCCGATATGCACGAATATCGACAGGAACCAAGATCTTTGGGTTATAAAGATATATTTTAAGTTTCATCAAAATTGTGACTTCTAGAGAGTCCACAATCTTGATATACCATATATTTACACTATTGCATACGAGGTGTGGCCATTTTATCCGGCAGTTTTGGTCCGTTTTCACGAAATTTGAACTCAACCATCATTAGGTTGTAACGGTGATATATACTAAAACGTTTTTTTAAATAGGAATAAAAAATTGTGACCTCCATAGGGTCTACAGTAGTACAAGCTAAAAAACATGATTTTTCGTACAATCAGGGGCCATATTTCAGGAAGTTACGGTCCGATATGGGCGAATATCAAAAGGAACCAAGATCTTTGGGTTTTAAACATACATTTCAAATTTCAACTAAATCGGATAAAAATTGTGACCTCGGGCTATAATCCATGAAGTTACGGTCTGATACATGCCAATATCGAAAGGAACCGAGATCTTCAGGAGATAAACCTATATTTTAAGTTTCGTTGAAATCGCATAAAAATTGTGACCTGTAGAGTTGTCCACAAACAATTGTGGACGGACGGACAGTTGCGATCGACGACAATATACGTCCACATTACACTGCATTGTAATCTCAGCTACTTTCTATCACAACTGTACGTGTTGTTCTGATTATTCAATCATACCCTACCCCAAAACCCAACCGACTCCTAACATACACTGGGCACTAAAATTTGCATAATTCATCACAAAATGCATATCTATATTTTTGACTTGAGTGAAGATGTTGCAATGCTCTCAATGAAACTGGTGTTAACTGTTTCTAATAAACCCTAGCTTTACATGTAGGTAATATCACTTTTGTATGGTCATTTTATGTGCACTTTAAAAATTTTGTGTTACCTGTTAATTCTATACCAGCATCTATAGCTGATATTGCAAATGGAGACAGATAATCTGGATCAAATGATAATTGATAGGCTTTCTGAGCTATACTACTAGCTGTAGTTTGTATAGCTTCTTCTTTAGGTATATTTAAATCCTAAAATATAACACATTTATTACTGTATTGTAAACAAATATAAATTACTTACAGCACATTTATTATTGTAAACAAAAATGAATTACAAACAGCACAATGTTATTTCTGTGCATTTACACACCTTATTTCAATGTCAAAATCTTATTTATTGCACTCCCCTATTATAGAACTAAAGTTCTATGTATACTTGTTCTTTGATAAGTAGATAGATTATATCATGTATTATATCAAAGTATACAAAAATATCTTTAATAATACAGATTTAGACACCTAAGCCAAGCTTTATATCATAAATCCCATATCATATATTTAATACCGTACTATTTAAAGGGCCAAGTCATAGATATCTTTCGATCTATTCTATGTTGTGGAGATCAGAGAAACAATATATTTATGCGGTATTACTGTGGTAATCTTAGATAAACAGTAGAGCCAAAACTGCCTTTCAACTGATCAATGAAGACAATTAAGTCACAACTATAATGGTAAGTAAGCTGAAAATCCAAACCAAACAACTTTTTTGTTATGTCTAAAATCTAATCAAAAACATGCAATTTACTTATTAGTAAGGGGGTGACTTCCCGGTGAGACAAGACATTAAATTTATAAACACATCAGATATCTTTAATTCTAGCTCTTAAACATTCTTATTAAATAACATTGACAGGTACATGTAGGGTATCAAGTACATGTCCTTGGGCTATGTTCTAAAGGTGACCTATACTCTGTTGTTAAGCTACCAGATCAATCTCATTTATTGCCAACTCAGCTCTAATTCTGCTTATAATATGATTTGATATAAAAAAAATAGGTTGCCACACAGCAGTTAAGTTGTCCAGGGGAGTTAACAAGGGAAATCGTTGAAAATTGATAGGCTTATTCGTCTCATTACCTTAAAGGCTGTATTAAATATAAAGTCAATCAGATATTAACTTTAGCCTCTAAAGCCTCCATCAGAATTTTCTAAAAGTGACCAAGGGCCATAACTAGGGCAGTAATTAACAGAAATCGTTGAAAATCACTGTGTATAAATTTAAAGTCAATCGGATATTAACTTTAGCATCTAGTGGATTATTTGCCATCTTGGATGCCATCTTGAGTTTCTCACCCGCCAAATTCTGTAAGAGGACACCCAGGGCTACCAAAATCAATCATATAAAACTTTGTATACAATTTCCAGGTTCAGCCAGAAGTCTGCCGGACTAACAGCTTGTAATGTACACTCAAAGCCATTAAAAACGCAAAGCCTAATTTGTGAAATATTTCTGGTAAACGTTTTCTTGGGCTTTCCTATATTATGGCACATAGGTGAAACTTATGATGGGTCTCTTTTAGTGAGACATTTGTGCCAGTCCATGCCAAGGCGACTTCAGGCATGTGTAAGAGTTCAGGGTGGACATACCCAATATTGACTTCAGCTGACCCCTGCTTTGTTTCATGGTTCAGGGTTTTGTGCATTTGTAGTGAATTCTTTCATGAAATTATCAACAGATGCTTGTTATCTTGATTTTGTCAATTAGTTGTTGCAGTAAATAAACTTTGAATTTGGCATTGTGTTTTTATGGCTTTGAGTGAATAATGTTTTTTGATCTGAACAATGGGCTGTTGATATTTGTTTATACATACACATGTAATACTTACCTTTAATTTAGAAACATATTCTACTAACATCATATCTGTCATATTATCAAATAAACCATCAGTACCTAATAATATTATATCTCCTTCTTCTACAGCATGGGAATTACTCTCAGCCATATCAGGACTAAAAAGAAAATCAAATAAATTCTATATTTACTTTCTGAGTATTAAAAGCAGGTAGGATATACATGGAATGAATGAACCCACCTGGTTAATGAAGATGGGCATACGCATGGGGTTTAACTTCTTACTGTTCTGCTCTGAACTGGGCTAATGAAGACAACATATGCCATACAGTGTGCTACATGTATAAGGGAAATTTTGCCTGTACAGCTCCACTACGGCCTACTCTTATATCGAATTCCAACTGTCAAGGGATCTCTTACGTGCACGCCAATGGGGAACCACGTAACATTTTTAACAAGGGACTCAACAAACGAGGCTAGACATATTCCACAAGTCAAACAGTGACCCATATTCTTATCTGGAGAGCACACACAGTAAGTACTATCGGTGTACACTGGAATAGCCAGAAGCTACAGATTGCCATTTGATTGAGACTGATTAGAAATTACAGTAAAACAGAAACGAATGAATGTATATCAGTTTATATATTATATTATTATATGTGTTGCGACCCATTTGTGTCAATTTCTAGGTCCCAAGTATTAGCAATTTATTTAACTCCTTTAATATTCTTTCATTTTTGGTGTCCTCTACATTGTCTTGTTTTAATTTTATCTTAATGTTGGTTAACTTTCTATCATCTGCTAAAACAAACGATTCTGTCCATAGAACTGTACTTGTAATGTTGAATTGAAAGCATAATTTGGCCACAAGATACAAATGTAATACGAATAGTGTGGATGTCTACACGATAATAAATGAACAAATCACCCTGGAATGGAGTACTAACCTGAATATACGAGTACATGTATAAAGGAGAGACTACTTTACAATCAATGACGGGGGTTGGAATGACCAAGTCTGTCACCCCTGGCTTGCGGTTTCCCTGGTGTGAGCGTACAATGTATGTGGATTGGAGATAGGGCCAGGGGCACCTTCTCAACCTCGTGGGTTTACTACTTTACAATCAATGACCTGGGAAAGGCGGGGGGATGTCCAAGTGGTCTAGAGTGTCGCGCTTCTACCTCTAGCTGGTCAGTCACCTCTGGCTTGCGGTTTCCCTGGTGTGAGCGTACAATGTATGTGGATTGGAGATAGGGGCGCCTTCTCAACCTCATGGGTTTACTCTAGGTACTCTGGTTTCCTCCCACAGGAAAGACACTGGAAATGTGCCAACACAATATAAATGAAAATAAGACAACTGCGCCAAGATAATAAAAATGAAAATAAGACAACTTGTCTGCGATATCACCTTCGGTGGAATTGGACGTTAAACATTAAGAACAACAAAACAACAACAATCAATGACTGATCATACTGGTGTCAAATTAGATGCTCTACATTTCTTTGTAACTTTACGCCAATGACATTTTTCATTGCAGATCGAATCAAGAACATAATAAATAAACAGCCAATATTGATTCTATCTAATTTGACCAAGTAAGACTTGAGATTAAAGTCATTACAAACACAGCGTGACAAGTGGTATCAGTTCTTTTAGCAGACACACCAGGTAATACTTTATAATCAGCTTTTCCTACTTGGCAAAATGACCAGAACTAAACCTTTGCTAACTTATCAAAAAGTTGATTTCTAATTCTGTATTCTAGACAATACAACACTATCCATAGAGAAACTAAAGATTAGGCAGATTGCCTAGTAGGAGGTCATTTCTTTCTTCAATAACAATTCTAAGCTGTATGTGTTTGACAAACATAATTTAATTTATTCAATTATACAGTGTTAACAAAATCGAGGCAATACCTGCTCTGTGGTGCTTTACAAAGCTTATAGAGATGAATTGATTAAAACAGAGTTTTACATATTGCACATAGTAACATGAATCTACAGGAACAGTTTATAGTAGTAATATAGTAATAATAACCATGTTGATTTCTTTGTCTTAAAAGATTAAACCATTCAAAATTTCAATTCCTTGATCTAACCAAAAATACAAAACAAGTTCAATATCTATTCTACTACTATTCATTAATTCAAGATAATACTTAATAACAATAATTTGTTGAACTTGTATAGCGCCAAAATCCAGCTTGTAAAGCTTCTCTGTTTCACTTGCACAAAAAAAGATATGATTATGAGTACACAATGTAAAACAATATAGATAGAAAATCATACAAGAATAAAATAAAACTATTTGGTAAAACGAGATAATAGGATTTTAAAAAAAATAAAATAGCAGGGTACAGATACCGATAAAAAATAGATAGAAAATCATAACAAATTAAAATTAAACTATTTGAGAAAACAAATAAACAGTAGTGTATAGGTAAAATATAAAATATTAAAATAATTGGTAAATGTAAAACTAAAGAGATAATTGCGTGAAGAGGGGGGGGGGGGAGAGAGAGAGAGAGAAATGGGGTTCAACGCCCACTCAACACAAATTAGGTCATTTCAGGACTAACACAAGCTTCAATTTTAATTCAATAATTCGCTTGCGCATAGGGTTCTTTAGCAGTAGGAGGAAACCGGAGGACCCGGAGAAAACCCATGAGGTTGGACAGACGACCTTACTCCTTGTCACGTACAACCTGGGAATCGAAACCAATTCAGTTGACTCAATGACAGACCTCATGATATAGCACACACAGGCTAACCATTCGGCCATCCAAGCCCCCCATTACGTGAAGGCTTTTTGGAACAATTCTATTTTTAGAATCTTTTAAAAACGTCAAAACTTGAACTGGTCCTTGTTTTAAAGGATATATCGTTCCCAAGTTGAGCGAGGAGAGTATTACTTTTTAGCATCTCAAGGAGGTGAAGATTTGAAGAATGAAGTTGGTGTAAGGGTTTACAATGGTTAAGAAGATCTTTAAGATATACAGGCGATTCAGGACAGTTTATTGACAGATATGCAAGACACAAAATTTTGAAATCGATGCAAAAAGAAACAGGAAGCCAGTGAAGTTGTTTGAGACAGGGATGGTGGGTGAACGATAGGTGTTAGTGAAAAGATACGGGCAGCTTTATTCTGAATGAGTTTGAGGGGGTATAAGCTTCTTGCGGGAAGTCCAACAAAGCAATGAGTTACAATAATCGAGTCTGGATGTAATAAAGGAGTTGACAAGTACACATGTAGTTTACAGGTTTCAAAATTGATACAAGGACGGATTCCACAATTCCACTGATGTTGTACAGATGAAAATTGCAAGATTTACAAATAGATGAGATATGGGATTTCATGTCCAGTGAAGAGTCGAAATTTACACCAAGATTTCGTACAGACGTTGACCATGGGATATTGGCATCTCCAATTTTCACAGAATTATGGGCTAACTTAAGATTTGTATTACATTTAGGTTTCAAAAGTTGTATCACTTCAGTTTTATCATTGTTCAATTTTAAAAGATTTAGTTTCATCTAGGATATATTTGTGTATCATCGGCGTAAAGTTGGTAGTCAATTTTGTGTTTTCTTATGATGTCTCCTAAAGGAGAGGTGTATGCTGTGAACAAGAGTGGTCCCAGGACCGAACCTTGCGGCACATATTTCAGCCTTTGTGGAGGAGATTTACTGTTATGGATATTTACTACTTGCTCCTGACAATCCAGATAACTGGCGAGCCATGATAGTGCACTGTCTTCGATCCCAAAACGATGTTTTAATCGGAATAACAATGTGGAAGTGTCTGTGTTTCGAAAGCGGCACTAAGGTTAAGCATAACAGAAAACACAGTCCCAGTTGTTCATCCGACTGATGATGTCAGTATGGACTCAAACAAGGGCAGTCTCAGTGCTGTGACTCTTCTTGTTGGCAGACTGAAATGGCTAATCTAAATTGTTCTGTGCAATATGATCCTTGAATCTGTAAGCTACAACCTTTTCTATGATTTTAGATAAAAATGACAGATTAGAGACTGGGCGGTAGTTTTGAAATATGTCTGGGTCTAAATTCGTCTTTTTTAGTAATGGTAACACAAGGGCACTTTTCAGTGATTGACACACCTTTCCAGATTTCAATGAACTATTTACAATGGAGGATATAATTGGAGAAATCGACAATGAACATTTTAATAACCATGTAGGAAGTGGGTCAAGGTCACAGGATTTATTTGCAGATTTTACAGTAATTTTGGAAATTTCAGTGTCTGATGTTGGCTCAAACTCCGGTCTTGTGTATAATTCACTGTCATGGGGAGTTGCTGTGCCAGCTGAAATCTAATATTAGCTACCTGTTCACAAAAGAAGGACGAAAATTGTTTTGCTAGAGCTGAAACGTCATTATCTGAGGGTAGGAGACACTTTTCATTTGATTTGGAAATACTGTTAGTTATTTTAAAGATAGGTTCCCAGAAAAGTATTTATCAGGTGGTTATTTCCAATGAAAGTATGGCAATTTTGGTATATATTGAAAGTAGAGATATCCAATCTTACTAGAAAAATACTGGATTCCCCGAAAAACACTCATGGAGCTTATACAGGACAAAAATGTCAGGGTTCCCCTAATCGACAGCCAGACGATTAGGAATATCTGCACGCGTCTCGACGTCAAAGGTTGCATGCGGAGATTGAGCGCTTGATGTACATGTTGATAAACTTTATGAAGAGTTAGACGTGCAACACTTTCTGACATAAAAATCACCAAAAAAGACGCGGGCAGTGGATAATCCGAGAATTTAATTAGGTTTCGATATTTGTAATAAATAGTCAGCGATTAAAGACAACATCGTCTTGTGTATGCAATGAATTCTCCTCTGACTTCGCACCCGTAAGTCACGTGAAACAAACATGACCTCTTTTGATCGATTTTTTATAGCCGGGTATTCCCTGACAATTGCAATGTTTTGAGAAGGATTTGAAGCAAAATTATGATGAATTAGTTTGAATATGTTTTTAGTCCAAATATATCATCAAATCACCCAGTTTGTACCCGGGAATGTATCTTTAAAATAACGTACAAATATAATAATATTAGTTTATTACATAAGCTATACATATTCCAGACAGACATCAATCATTATGATAATATTAATATATG